TTTCAAATATAAATGTTGAGGCCAGTGTCTGAAGTAACGTGAAAATGATTGTTCTGTTCGTAGGCAACAGATTTCAGCACTAACAATCAATGCATTAACATTATACTCTCCTCTTTATACAATCAGACATCTACGGTGAGCTTGATGTCTGCCAGCGCAAACTCCGACACAAATTGAAAAAGTTTGAATACATTTATGAGGGAGTGGCACAGCACGGGACGCAGACACTTCTTAACAAGGTTTACACTGAGCTCTACATCACAGAGGGAGTCGGTGGGACTGTAAATAATGAGCATGAGGTCAGGCTGATTGAGGCTGCAAACCGGAGACGAACAACAGAAGACAAACCAATCAAGTGTGAAGAAATCTTTCAGCCTCTGCACGAACAGGACAGATTTATCAGAACAGTGCTGACGAAAGGAATCTCTGGCATTGGGAAAACAATCTCCGTGCAAAAGTTTAATCTGGAATGGGCCGAGGGAAGAGTTAACCAGGATATCCAACTGCTCATTAATCTTCCCTTTCGTGAGCTGAATCTGATGAAGGAGAGACTTTTCACACTGACGCAGCTTCTTCAACACTTTCTCGCAGAGGCCAAGGAATCAGGAATTTCAAATTTTGGCAAATACAAGCTCATGCTGATATTTGATGGGTTGGATGAGTGCCGGCTTCCCCTGGCCTTTGACCTCAACAAGCCCTGCCGTTGTGACTCGGAGCCAGCTTCAGTGGATGAGCTACTGACGAATCTCATCCAGGGGAACCTGCTTCCATCAGCAAACATCTGGATAACTTCAAGACCCGCAGCTGCAAATCGCATTCCAGTCGTTCTGATTGATCGAGTGACGGAAATACGAGGCTTCAACGACCCCAAGAAGGAAGAGTACTTCAGGAAGAAAATCTCTGATCAAAACATGGCCTGTAAAGTTATCTCACACGTTAAGTCAACCAGGAGCCTGCATATCATGTGTCACATACCAGTCTTCAGCTGGATAACCGCCACCGTTCTGCAGAGTATTTTAGAACAAACTGAAAGGAAGGATGATGGTGTACCAGGAGAGATGCCTAAAACTCTGACGCAAATGTACACCAACTTTCTTGTGTACAACTCGTTGATAAGAACTCAAAAGTACTCAGAAGAACAAGAGGAACCACCGGCCCAGGAGAAAATGGACGAAGAGATGATCTTGAAGCTAGGAAAACTGGCCTTTGAGCACCTGATGAAAGGTAACATGATCTTCTATGAGAATGAACTGAAAGAGTACAACATCAACATTGCTGATGCTGCAATATATTCAGGTGTGTTCACACAGATCTCTCAGAACGACTGCGGATTTTACCGGGAGATGGTGTACTGCTTTGTGCATCTCAGCATTCAGGAGTATTTTGCAGCAATGTTCATTTTTCACAGATTCATCTGTTTCAATCAGAACTTGCTTGAGCCGCACAAAACCTTTATTGACCACGAGGCTCCCAGTGACGCAACAAGCCTTCTCAAAAGTGCAGTGGATAAGGCCCTGCGAAGCGAGAACGGACACCTGGATCTGTTTCTGCGTTTTCTTCTCGGCCTCTCGCAGACCTCCAATCAGATCTTGCTGAAGAGCGTTCTGACCACGATGGAGTACAGTTCACAGAGAAACGAAGAAATTGCAGAGTACATCAAGGACAAGATCAGGCTAAATCTCTCCCCGGAAAGATGCATCAATCTCTTCCACTGCCTCAATGAGCTGAATGATCAGCGTCTCTTGGAGGAAATCCAGAAATACCTGTGCTCTGGTTGTTTGTCAGAGATTCAACTGTCGCCTTCACTGTGGTCTGCTCTGGTCTTTGTGTTGCTGACCGCAAAGGAAGAGTTGGATGAGTTTGACTTGAGGAAATATTCGAGATCAGAGGAAGGTCTCCTGAGGCTGCTGCCAGTCATCAAAGAGTCCAGAGTAGCCTTGTGAGTAAATATCTATATCCTCTGCACTTTTATCGTGCAATACAATATTTCTATGCTTTTTAAAAATTGATACATTTGCAGGTAACTAGTTTGTTTGATCCGATGTCATATTAATCAATGATAAACGTGCTATGTGTAGGATCTAAGCCCTGTGAGCAAATGTATTAAATTGCTTCTAATTTCAAAGGTTAAAAGAATGCAGCCTTACAGAGAAATCCTGCAAATTACTTGGAGATGTTCTAAGCAACTCATATCTGAAAGAACTGGACCTGAGCGATAATGACCTGCAAGACTCGGGAGTAGAGCTGCTGTCTACTGGACTGGCAAGTCCAACATGTCAGCTGGAAAAACTGAGGTTTGTGAAGAAGTGCTGGCTACCTACTATCAAAAAAATGCTGATTATGGCCAGTATTATTCTATTTTTGGAGAATACAGTGTTGATTTGCATTCTACGGATTATAATGAATAAGTTTGACTCTTCACTTTCAGGCTGCAGTTCTGTGGGATCACAGAGATTGGCTGTGGCCATTTGGCTACTGCTCTTAAAGCCAACCCAAGCCACCTGAAGGAACTCGATCTGAGCTACAATCATCCAGGACAGACAGGGGAGGAGCTGTTGTCCTGTTTACAGAGGGACATTGAACACCTCACTGTCAGGTATAACTGAGTCAAATTTCTCAATTATTTTTCTTTAGTATAATAATTTGTTGGGTTTCTCATATCAAAAACATCGCCTTTGTATTTTTTCTAGATTAAATGGCAATGCGGAATGCTACTTAAAATCATCTCTGAAGAAATGTAAGTTTTTTTGGTATCTGACTTAAATATTGTTTCTTTTTTTCTTTAAATAGTACTGTAGTTTTAGGAGCTGAAGGACTTTTTTAAATGTTTTTTTCCCTTTTTTGTTTTTCATCAGATGTATGTGAGCTCACGTTGGATGTGAATACTGCCCACTCAAACTTGTCTTTGTCTGAAGACCAAAAAAAGATGACGCGAATGGAATCAGTTCAGCCATATCCTGACAGCCCAGAAAGATTCACAGACTGGGGGCAAGTTCTCAGTAAAGAGGGTCTGCATGCTCGTCACTACTGGGAGGTAGAGTGGACTGGCGAATGGACTGGTATTGGAGTGGCTTATAAAGGAGTCAGCAGGAAAGAGAAAGGAAACGAATGTGTCCTTGGCTACAATGATAAGTCCTGGAGTCTGCGCTACTGTCACGGCAAATACAGCACATTGTTCAATAAGAGCGACGCAGACATATCCGTTCCCTACTTCGACTCCAAAAGGATTGGGGTGTTCTTATGGGACGGGTGGCGCAGTGGTCTGTGCATCCGATCATCAGATCAAGGGGGAGTGCTGGGGAACTCCAGTTCGAAACCCGCTCCTGCCGCCACTGCGTCAGGCCGTTGTGTCCTTGGGCAAGACACTTCACCCGGATTTGCTCCTGTGGGTATTGTCCACAGTACATGTATAATACCAATGTGTACTTGTAAAAGCGCCTCGATGTCTTCGAGGCGTGAAGATGGACGGTGTGGCGCAGTGCGCTGTGCAATGATCATCAGATCAAGGGGTGAAACCCGCCGCTGCTGCTGCTGCTGTAAAGCCGGTGTGTCCTTGGGCAAGACACTTCACCTGAACTTGCTCCTGTGGGTATTGTCCACAGTATCTGACCATTGCATGTATCATATATGTGTAATGTGTGTATATGTAAAGCGCTTTGAGTCATTGATAAAGCGCTATAATAAATGTAAGGAATTATTATAATTAATTATTAGACTGGTCAGCTGGCACGCTGTCCTTCTACGCTGTATCTCCAAATGCCATGACACACCTGCACACGTTCCACACTGAGTTCTCTGAGCCACTGTATCCAGGATTTAGGCTGGGGTTTCCAGATTCTTCATTGATTCTGTGCCAGCCAGAATACCCTTAAAGGTCAACTATTATGCAAAATCCACTTTGTCATATTACACATCAACATGTGTCCCCTCTGTGGAAAGAGATTCTGAAAGTTTCAGGAAAAAAGATTTTCTCTTTTTGTCCTGATCCATTTCTATAAAAACCTGCTGATCAGATTTTGGCCACTTTACGATTTGTTTGTCTTGTGTAACCATTAGCCAATCACCAACCAAGGTAACCCCCCCCCCTTATCACCTGAATCTCCTCCTAGAGCACCATTGTGTTCTTTGTAACCAAATCTCTCTCAGAGGGGCGTGGGGAAGGGCTCCTTACTTTCATCTAAAGTAACAGACAGAGAATCAGCACTTTGGAAACAGGGCTGAAACAGAGGGGATTATGGGTAATGCTGCAATGATCTGTTTGGTGTTTGGAGCCAAACACTTCAGAGACATGTTTGTATATATCTGAGACCTATAACATATTGATGAAAAACAGTATAATAGGGGAGCTTTAAAATCCCTAAATATTCAATGTATTGTTCACATGAGGATGTAACCACACAAAAAAAACAAGGCTGAAAACGATATGCAAACATAATGGGGAAACTTTAAAAGAGGGATTTCTTTTTTTTCCCCGCAGATCGCATTTATATACTATGCATAAACACATTTGCTCAGGGCAGCACATTCTTAGGCCAATGAAGCCAGTGACCTACATTTTGCGTCAATCAATTGTGTTGAAATGTACATGCTATCTATACAGCAGGGCAAATTGAGTCGCTGATGTTTTTGTCCCATTATCCCATTTTGTGCGTGGACGCAGCAGCTACAACGGTAGCTTCGCTTTACCCTCCATTCTGAAAAGCATTTCAAATGTTTTTTGCCCTGCTGTCTTGAGCAAAACTTGCCAAAACCATATTCATAGTTTTCACTAAATCAGTATCTGCCTGCAGTTATTTCAGCATCATTTTGATACATGTATTGCAATTTAAAAAATGAACAACAGTGAGCAAATACGCCTTTGAAATGAATGGCATTAGATTATCCTCTACGTTTATGATCTTGTTTTTTTATGAAAGCTACTTTTTGAGCATATAACTAAGACATGGGTGTGTTATATTTGTGAAACAAGAACTCAAGGAAATGCACACTGTATAACCAAGGTGTTTTATGTAATTTATTAATTTTCATGACTTTTTTTCACGTGTTAATTATTAATCATGTATTTTAAGGCACTTAAATTGATTGACAGGACTGTGATCATTGTTATATAGAAAAAATACAGCAGAAAATGAGCAAGCATGTCAAGCCAAACGATTTAATAAATAAAAGATGTATTTAAAAACGTTACTATTGAAGTGTGAGCATGTTGGCTTTTATTCACTCTGTAAAATAGATACAGAAAAAGGGATAATTGCAGATAATAAAAAAAAAAAGCAATTCACTCATGTTATAAATTATTATTGCTTAATTGTGCACAAGCAATAATTGATTCAACTCTAAAGAAATGTGTCTTGTTCTCACTCGTAAAAAAAGAGATGTGTTCAAAGTGAATCAGTTAGTTGGCCACTGGATCAGACCCCCCCCCCATGAGGCTCCTCTTCTGTGGTCCGAGCTCTGCAGAGGCTTTGGCTGAGGAGGAAACACAGATAAGATAAGAAGTACTTTATTGATCCCAATTTGGGAAATGTTTGTGTTGCAGCAGCATAAAAAGACATGGCATTGTACAATAAAATGATCGAGAAATAAACAAGAAAGTAGAAAATATACACGTTGAATTACAAATGTACAGTAACAAAACATAAAGCAAGTTATATGTACATAAGTATGTGAGGCTAGAGGACATCAGTGTTTCTTCATCATGGTGCAAACATCTTTAATTAAACATTTAAAGAATATTTAGCAAAAGCTCCTCGAATGCAGTTCACGAGAAAACGTATCTTGTGTGGTTTACATTTCCAGGGCGCTGCTCAAATATAATGAGTTCAAACAGTGAAACATCCTTTAAAAGTGTTGATCTATGTGATACATGTTAGGGAATAACTTGCTTGGGTATTCAACCTTCGACCCAGTTCATCGTTTTCTCCTCTCACTGTCTCCTTTCCTACGGCATAGGTCTACGGCCTTGCTGCTATCTCTCTTAAGGAGGAGCAGCTTGGGCGCATTGTTGTTGCCAGTCTATGACAGAGCACAAGCCGCCATGAGGTAGTTTACTGATCAGGAACGTCTTCCCTGGCGCACATTCTTTCCTCTGGACGAGAGCTCTAGTTAGATTCAGGGTCCATAATGTTTAGTCTCACTGATAAAGAATGTTGATTATTACACTCCGAAATAGTTAAAACCTCGAGCTGCAGAAGAGTTCTTCAGAATTGGTTTGGCGACCGCTCGTCAACTCGTGACGCACCACCTGACAATTCTCCGGCCGAAGCTCCAAATAAAGCGCCAGTGTTTGCCATCAAAGCTCCAGCTCTCCTCGTGTCTCTCTGAGTCCTGACTCCAATTGCTTCAGAAGTTTCCCCCACAGTACAGACTGCTTTGCTACATTACTATATATTTCTGAGACGTATAGGGGCTGCACAAACCCCTGTGCATGAATAGCATGATGTCTTTGGTCCTGCAAGATTTTGATTTGAAGTGTTTTTGATTTATTTACATAAAAACACACACACCAAAACACCACTTGCACACACAAGGCCACCACATTTCACTAACGCAGCTCTTCAATACAACTGAAGCTCTTCGGATAAAATATCACCCACAACAAAATAGCCAGGACTGTGCACAGATGTTTCAGGGACTTTCTTAAAAGTGTATATGTACATAAGGCTATGTGTTTTTGTTTTGAGATTATATTTTAGATGATGTACACTAGACATACAGTACATCTTCCGGTATCTTTGGTCGTTTCTGAAAGTACGTACTGTAAAAGGCAACAGAAAAGTTGTCAATCAGATTTCTGCAGATTTAAAGTCTCTAGTCAATCTGTGCACATTCCTGACTAAACCCAAACAGTATATGAACTGAAAACCACAACACACACAACCACCACCCAAAAGGGAAATGGCGGGTACCTGGAGACATGTTCACCAACTCTCCATCCACTCAGAGCCTGCACACCAGGGACAAACCACATGTTGTCGGTCTGAGACTCTAAGGTGTGTGTGTGTGTGTGTGTGTGTGTGTGTGTGTGTGTGTGTGTGTGTGTGTGTGTGTGTGTGTGTGTGTGTGTGTGTGTGTGTGTGTGTGTGTGTGTGTGTGTGTGTGTGTGTGTGTGTGTGTGTGTGTGTGTGTTTCTATCTTTATGAGTGATATGAGGTTCTGCACAGTGACAACAGTCGGTTGTTATTCATCAATTAATCTGGTCTGACTCGCTTTAACGATAAACGTTAGCATTATTGTAATAGGAGTATAAAGGCTTGCATACAGCTTGTACAGCTGTGATGGTTGGTTTAAAGGTAGGGATGTCCAAACTACGGCCCGGGGGCCAAATGCGGCCCGCGGACCATTTTGAATCGGCCCTCAGCAAATTCAAAAAGTATAATGGAATACGGCCCACAAATGAAACTTGTGCTTATCTTATATTGTACTTCTTAAATATACATGTACAAATATATTACACAGTAGTATTTGTGTGTTAATAATCCCACTTTTAAATAGATTCAGTCGATTAAAGTTGGAAACATTTCCTAACATATCCAAGTTGATAAGGAAAAAGCCCAGAAACGTATTTACATAACCAGTTTGAAATAGACCCCTCATATCTCCTCTTATGATAATCAATCTGAGGCTTCTGCTTTAAGGAATGAGCTGCCAACACTTTTTGTAACAATAAATGAAGCCCTCTGGAGAGCTGCGATGTAGGCTGTTTTTTTCATCTTGCATTTTCAAGTATCAAGCATACTTTACCATTTGATTGATTTCGCTATCTTATAACTGAACTTATGAGGCGATATACCTCTAGTGAGCGGCCCAGCCCTTCGTATATTTCTCTGTATGTGGCCCTCGGTGAAAAAAGTTTGGACACCCCTGGTCTAAGGGATGCATTAGAGAATGTAAATAAGGATGTTTGTTCACTAACCTGCCACCAGCTTGCTCTTGCACGAGGCCTCGGAGGCCAGAGCGTGCGACACGCTCATGATCCTCTCCTGCTGCTGCAGAGCTGCGTCCAGATCACCGAAGTCCAGCTGAGCGGACGGCTGTCTGTTCTGATAACTGGAGAGAGAACACACACACTCCCTCACTTAGAAAGAATAACCTGCACCATGGGCACATACAGTATGACTTGCAGTATGTACCTACTTTCTATACAAATAAAATATATCTGATATATAAAAGATATAATAAATCTGTTTCTGATATTCTTAACCAATAATATCTGTATATATGTCAAAGGTGCACCTAACTCTATTGGTGTTATATTGATATATATACTGTAAAATGTCCTTTTTTCCCCTTGTCTTATTCCTGTTGATGCTTTAAAATTATCCTACAGGAATCCAAAAAAGGTGTTTCTTAAACCAGTGGATTCATAAATAACACACTCACATACTGATCACCATTTAGACCTTCATTCCCACAGGGATACAGTAGAAGCTGAACTCACTGAATGTATATCAGTGCATTTCACTCAGATCGTAATCCCCCTTGAACACCTTCTAGGCTGAAGACTTTCTTTTTGCGGCCACTTTTAATAAACTATTCACATCTTACACTGCACTGTAACTTGTATTCATGTTCCTGTGTTATTCATGTTTTATAATCTTTGCTTTTTAATGTTTCTGATGTGTTTTTATGCTCTTAAAGGTGGGTAGGTAAGAATGGAGAAACCGGCTCGAGTGCGCTAGAATTTGAAAGTACGCAGCCGATAAAAATCTGCCCCTTCCTTCAGACTTCCTTACAGAGCCCCTCCTCCAACACACACGAACGCGCACATGACCAATGAGGGCACGAGATAAATTAGTGCACAGATGGAAGGCTGACAGGCAGGTAGGCCGTCCAGTTACTTTAGCCGGGCCGGCTCAGATGATTGGTCGTGCTTTTTACAGCGCCACGGCTTCCACAGATGACATTTTTGTATGTATTCATTGCCAAAGCATTTAATGTATTCATTGCTATCGGGATGTTAAGAGCATTCCATGGAATATAACAAGTGTTTCTGAAGTGAATTACCTACCCCACCTTTAATGTCTTTTTGTAAAGCACTTTGAATTACCTTATGTTGAAAAGTGCTGTATAAATACATTTGCCTAGCCTTCCCTGGATTTACTTGAAATAAAAGGCAGAAATCTTAGCGACCCCAGCTGCTGTGAGTGCTGTACCTGGACTTAGCGAGCAGGTTCTTGATGCGCTGCGTCCGGCGGCCGCGCTCCTCCTGCTCCTCCGGACTCAGAGGCTCGTCGGGGTCCGACTCCACGTAGCGCTCTGGGATGGGAACCTTCTGAGGTTTGCACAGCTGCATGGGGAAAGGACAGGGCAGAAGTCTTAACATCCCATTATGTGGTGATGACGTAACCATTTGAAGTTTGTCTCTTCAAGTAGAAGTCAACATGAGGTTGTTATGCTTTTCATAACAATGGTAACTAATTCTCTCTTGGGTATTTCTTCTACATTAACAGTGATTTGTGCCTCTATCTAAAGTTCCTATTCAATTCTTAAATCTGGCATTCATTTATGAGTATTTGAACAATTCATTTAAAAAGACGTGGTTTGCAAAAACATTTCAATAGGCTTTATTAAACTGCCATGCAGTGAAATGTGAATGCTTTTATCTATCTATGTTGGGGTTACCACAAATTGTTGAAGTCAATGACTCACACCTATTTACAAACCACACAGAAAAACCCATTTGATTGACAGGCCTCCCAGGGTCTAGACTTTCCCCTTTCAGGATGACAATTCAATTAATGTACTGTAGATCTTTTTGTGATTTAAATACATGTTATATACAATTTAAGAATGGTTGCATAATATATATATATCAATATGAGCTCAGCACACTCTCCATCCATGCTAGAAAACTTATGGAGGGTGTCTGAGATGAACTGAGAACTAAAGTGCCGATTTAACCAGATAAATCAGAACAGTGGCGCTGTCAGAGGATTTTGATGTGCTCTTCTGCCTCTGCGCAGGCGACAGCTGTAACCGAATTATATGAATTATGTTTTGGGGTTATTTAAATCTGTCCATCCCAGGAACGTATTTCTCCAAATTTGACACAACTGTCTACTTGGATTAGATTTTGGTTGTCAAAGTTTAAAGTCACTGTGATGTAATGAAACCCATTTTAGGCTATACCTAGAATTGATATGCTAATTAAGACATTTTCACACATATCTAATAGAATACAACTTCACATATTGGACGAACACGGATGTTAAGACGTTGTAAAGATGTAAGCCGCAGTGAGTGAGTGAGTGAGTGTGTGTGTGTGTGTGTGTGTGTGTGTGACTACCTCCCGGCTGATATCCAGGTCGTAGTCCAGAGGCTCCACATCCACCTCCCGTATGTGTGTGGCTGTGACCGTCACCCACTCATCTGATTGGATCCTCCCTCTCTCCTTGGCCTGGCTCCACCCTTCATCACTCTGACCCTCTGCAGCCAGACGCTCCTCCTTCCAGTCAAACACCTGCAAACAGCAGGAGTCATTATTACAATCTTTAAAGTAGATCACAAAACCTCTCTTTCTGGACATGTTCTTGAAAGGTGTTACCATCAAAATGTACTTAAAGCTGTTGATATTATTTCCACTGATTAACAGGATTTCAATATAGACAATATCCCCCTAACAGTGAGTAACATTTTACATACAGATGGCTTCAAATATCTACTATACTGCACCCAGTGTCCACATTAAATCTACTTATATTGAGTTTAATCCTTTAAAGATCATACATTATTAGTTAAACAATTATTAAACTTGTGTGAAGTTGATTTGCAACATATTTTATAATTATTTGGTTAGCACAAACGCTGAGAAATGATTACTTCAGCTGCAAAATTAAAAATAATTGCTGGTTATCCGATGTTTTCTTTGCTATTTAACAGGATTAATTTTGAAAAATAATCACCATAGTTGCAGCCTTGGTAGTTTAACAGTAAAGGATTATAAAAAATACTTAAAAACAGGTTTATATTCTTCAATAAAGTGAAATAAAAGAGAGCCACATGAAGCTGTGTCAGGTAGCGCAAAAAAGGGAGTGAATAGGGAAATGCAGTAGCACTGTAGTAAACTAAAGAATCATTTCAAAAATATTATATAATTTGGCGTAAAACAATATGTAATCTCTGCAGTGAGTTGCGCTTCAGATAGAGGGAGACAAAGATGCATTTAAAAAAAAATTCAACCTAGAATAAATATAGAATCTAGGAATTAGACAGTACCATCTTTTAGAATCATTACTAGAGAAAACCCAGGAATAAGATGAGTTTTTAATTACAATCATCCCTTCTCTCCTATGCAAACAGCATCTACAAAAATACTCTGAGTCCCAGACAACATGTAAGTGTGTGTGTGTGTGTGTGTGTGTTGAGGGGTACTTGTGAGTAATCATCCCAGGAGCATCAAAGCCATGCATCCTCCCGCTCCAGTAGCCTGCAGATCTGCTGCTCTGAGAGACACTGCAGCCCATGCCTTCAGGAGAATGAATCACACTCACAGGAGGACAGAGAGAAAGAGAGAGAGAGAAACACCATGCAGGAACAGATTCATCAGGAAAAACCCACGACAGACAGATCAGGAAGAACGCAGCCCAGAGGAGGATCAAGAAGCAAGGAACTCTTTATTGTCGAGTGCAAATCTCTACATGATAGAAAAGGGAAGAGTTGTGCGTTGCTTCTCGATAACACAGAATTAGGTGGTGATTAGCAGTTCACTTCTCTAAGGTCTCTATTATATGTCTATACTCTTCAAACCTCCTGGATCTATATTTCTTAAATCTTTGATCTGATATATTGTATGTGGAAGGATAAAAGCAATGTGGCAGAAAAGCTCTCAAGATGTGGGGAAAACAAGGAGTGGAGCGTAGGGCATTGCTTCATGTCTCTTTTCTCTCATAAAACAACTCATTTGAAGAACTTAATTGGATATCTGGTTAATTATAAGGTATTTTTCACAATTGTTGTATCCAAATTATCAAAAATAATGACATAAATTAGGAGAATAATCATCTTAATTTAAATATCCCCCTTTTTCACACTAATATCCCATGGAAAGTTGTCCACTCCTTGTTCATATTTATTATTATCTCTTTTATTGCGTTTCAGCCCTGTTGCTTCAACCTGTCCTGTATATTTATAATGCATAAAACAGCACAGCATAGGCCACTTAAAAGTACTCACATATGAGTATATATAGTATTCTCTTCCCAACTTTAATCGTGGCAATGTAAATACCAACCACTGTCAAACGATAAAAATAACCTTGTAATCTGTACAAGAAGAAAAGGCGGCATTAATGAGTTGGTTAATTCAAATATAAAATGGTGTAAACATGTTTTATGCTGGTGGAGTAGAGAAAATAAAATATGCTTTATGGTTATATGCACTGGAAATAGATAGCAGAGAACTACAGACTATGTATTGCTCACGGTTACACGGACAATTGTACTCAATGATTCATGGGAAATGTAGTTTGATGACTGGCAGAAATCACTGTTAGTCTGTAATCATAAAAACAATCTGTTATGTCTCGTGTTATCTCAATGGAAGACTTTGACATTTTGGATTATCACCTTTTCACCCAGGCATTGTTAGCATTGTTAGCATGTTAGCATTCCATACTGAAACTAGATTTAGTTTAAATGTCAAAGTATTCCTCTATTGGTTAAAACCAGCACATCTTCCTAACTGAACTCTGCTCTTACACAGAAACCTTAAAGCTAGCTCGTTGCATCGTTTCTATGATTCTGAAGTGCTTTGAAACAAACCACGGTTAATTAAAAATGATGATTAAGGAGGTACATTTGGGACAAAGGCAAAAAACATCATCGGCAAAACAAGGCACTTGGATTTCATTCGAAGAAAAGAAAGCAGGGAGGTGTAATCATGATTTGTGCCACTAGCATCGCCCTTTCTCTTCATTTCATCAACCTGATTATTTCCCCCAACATTTCCCCCCCACTCTTCTATATGCTCTATATACCAAATCTCTACAAAATATAACTGTACAACTGTATACTGAAAATATCCCTCAGTAAATAAATAAAAGTGTACACAGTATGTAGATGTACATAAATGGGCTCTTCTCTCTACCTTCTGGTGAGTAAAACAGAGAAGGGAAGGCAGTGCGATGCCTTCAATTCCCTCCTTATATCTTAGTGGATTTACATTCAGAATTGTGTCAGTGAGGTCCCACCGTGGGGCGTTAGGGCAACCCCTGAACCTTTTAAAAAAATAAACAGGGAGCGACAGTCCCAGTCCCGAAACTAGCCAAATATTCCCGTCAAATCCCTGTGTGCTCATTTGTCTCCCATTGTTCTTAAAGCATTCACCAAGCTAGCTAGCCAGCCTGCCCTTTAGCGCGTTAGTGCTAACAACCATTGGTTATACAGAGCAGCAGAGTAGGCTAGCGTGTTAGCATTCCCAGCTAGGTCGTTATGTGCCAGGGGGCTGGAGGGTGTAGCAGCAGTGGTGGTGGAGGTGGAGCTCCCTGTGTCTGCTGCTGCTGCGCGGGGGGTAACGTACGGAGGCCGGGGGGTCCGAGGTGTTGGTGGGCAGCCTGGAGGAGGAGGATGAGCGCTGGGCGGTGGAGGAGGAGCGCTCCTGGCTCAGGTTCCTCTTGCGCTCGCGAACTAGCGCCTTCTGGTGGCGCTTCATCCGTTCCAGCTGCTCCTCCGCCGTCATGCGGCCCCGAGGCTGAGCGCCCGACAGCTGCAGGACGTCCGGAGGAGACGACAGGAGCTCCAAGGCACTCTTAGGTCTCTCCTGGTTGGGGGGGGGAGAAGGAATAATACAGGGAGGGTTGAAACAAGGTCAAAGAGGGAAAGGAGAGAGGGGATGGATGTTTGGTGGGGTTGGTTCAAGAGGAATGGAACAAAATAGATGATATGTGAAGATGAAAGCGGGCAGGAAGTACAAAGATGGAGGAACAGTGACATAGTTTAGTGAACAAAGAATGAGAGAAACAGGAAATGGCCATAATGAATGTGACAGATTTAAACAACATACAATACCGCTGAGAAAGTTTGCTAAATTTGGTTGTTTTGAAGGATACAAGTTATGTCACAAATGTCCACAACCTGCATATCAATTGCTACTTTTATCTAAAAAGCATACATTAAAAAGAAAGTCTACGTTGTCTTTGAACAGGCTTATATACTGCACATGTTGATTCATTAAATGCTTTATAGCAAAACTTAACTGTGATTCGTTCATGTCTACTAGTGGTGCTCACCCTTAGAGCGCTAAGTCAGTCAGATCCTTTAAGTGTAGGATAACCATGTTCAACACATCTGGCTTATACAAATTGAGATTACTCCGGGTGATCACACATATCTGCAGATGTTCCTCCTGTACTCACCCTGGCTGCAGAGCCCCCAGGACCCCTCCTCAGGGTGACGTAGGACGCGATATAGTTGGACTGGTTCAGGCGAGATGAGGGGACTGACAGACCTAGTTCATGAAAAACAAGACAGGAAGCAGCACAGCTTAGTTCCGTTTGCCAAGTAAAGACATTATTAAGGTAAAACAATGAAAACACAGCGAGGAAATGCTCAATTAAGATCCTCACAAGAGAAGAAAATTGAAATTCCACCAAAGCCAGGTGCAATATCTAGCAATGAAAGTGTAAAATAATCTGCCCTGTGATACGGATCCACTTCAAAATGTTTTGGGTTTAGTCTTGGCCCATCCTACATCCTTCCAACAAGGGTTAGGGTTAACTAGTGTTATAGTCATCCTATTCTTCATAACCTCCTTGGCATAGGTCATAGTGTAATGGTGATACAAAAAAGTGATTATTTGCACTGGTAAAACAAATTCCCTCAACTTAATTTAAATAAAAAGTTTACGAAATTAGATTATTAATTTGGTTTAAAGGTTGTATCAGGATTGAGAATCATTTGAATAACGTTCCAGATTGGTTTAAAATGTATTCTTCTGCTCTTTTACAAAAAATGACAGAGATAATTTATTGTCAAGATAAGAACTACATTCTTCCCTTTTTAACTGATGAATCTTCAGGTCTGAAGAGATTGGATTTCTAATGAAAATATCTGTCATTCTGAACATAAAAGCACCCGTTTGTGCATAATCAAAGTTTCATCAATTCAATTCAAGCTCGCTAACATCTATTCTTCCTATTTCTATGCAGTACAACAAAACCAAGTTTGTTTCCTGGAGAAAAATATGAGAATAACCACATGTTGATCCTATATACCTACTTTAATTATATTTATAAAAAACACAAAGAATGATGGGCTGGAATGCAAACCATGCTGGGAAGTCAATAGTCATAAAGAAGGTTAATACATTTAACTATTTTTCTGTTTAATGAATTTAACATTTCAGATACCTTTGCCCTGGAAGTACAGGTAGTCCATGTCGGCCCCCGTGCTCAGGGCTGGCAGCTCTGGTTCACTCAGGTACGACCGCATGTCCGTCTGTAACCAGAAAACATTCAACAGGAAGACAGCATGTTAGCTATTGGTACTAAAACAACTAATTGCATTTGAAACAACAATTAAAAAATCCTTCAAACAAGCTTTGTTCTTCATTCTTGCTCAAATGAATAACCCTGTATCACACCTCACGTCTAACTAGCAGGGAACCTCCAGTACATTACTTTAGTTTCTCTTTAACCAGATTTCACTCTGCTTTCCACCCATAACCCTGAACAATTTGCATATAGCTTACTTAAACTTGACATTATTATTATAAACAGCAATTACTTTTTTGCAAATATTATGTGTAATGTATTTACCATGTGGTTATAGTTTATTTAGTAGTAGCTTGTTAGTCTATTATAGTGTTTTCTACCTTATTCTGTATATTTTTATATACTCTAGATACTTTTATATTTACTGTTTGTTCATTTTTAACTCATGTGCAATGTAGTGTTGCACGGTGTACCAATAATTGAAAGGTACCACGATACCCTGCCGTTAAAAACTTTACGATTCCTCCGTTTCATTAGTATCGGTACTTTAAGAATGACGGGGAAAAGTACTCCGGTGAGAAAGCGCTGTTTTAATAAGAGCCGTGTGTGTTCAGCGCTCTGCTTCCACTCCCTGCACTGCAGCCGTGCCTGCAGTCCGCCCCTCTCAAGCACGCTCTAAGTGCCTCCCCTCTCTCGTGCACGCGGCCACGCGCTAGCTGCCAGAGCACGTGAGAAAGCGAGAAGCATGGCTGCAAGTGGGAGTGCAACTCTAGTTATTCTCATTGTTTAAAAGTTTGTGTTATGGTTATAGTTCTGGTGTGAAATAAAGCACAATAATTACATTTAAGACTGTTTCCCTTTTTTTAAGAAAAGTATCGAAAAATAATCGGAATCGCAATTCTTGACTTGGTATCGAAACCAAAATGTTGGTATCGTGACAGCACTAGTGCAATGTGTTTGTTACATGCTGCTGTAACCAAACCAAATCCCAGTTCAGGATCAATACATGATATTTAACTTATCTATCAAAGACACTAGATTGTTAAACACCTGAACCATTCATCTGTTTGCAACTTATATATATCAATATTCCAATTACTGTATATAGACTATTTTGTACTATTTCTATTATATTCTATTTTATTGTATTTACTTGCACTATTTTATCTGTTTTATTGTGTTGCACTGTTGGAGGAGCCTGTGACCTAAGATGTTAATGATATGCACACATGACAATAAAAGCCTTGAAACTTGAAACACTAGTGGGGAGATGAATTGAAGTAACTTAAGGACAGACTACCTCTCCGTTGGCGACGTACTGCCCGCCCTCCCGGTCCCTCTTCCTCTCGTCTGATTGGCGCTTCAGCCCTCGCACCGACATGTGGCGGATGACAGACGCCTCTTTGGGGAGCGGCGGCACCACGGGGGGCGGGTCCTCGCTGTCATAGAGGTGAGGGAGGGGAGGCCTGGGGGGGGCGCTGTCTTCGGCCTGGACACCCACCAGGAGGGAAAAAAAGATTCAGTATTTTAGATCCTGCTATGTGAAAAAACACCAGAAGAAATACAAATAATGTTTTTACTTACTCTTCTTCTAGTAATACAAGTAAGTAAGATCTTGAAAATGGAATGTATAGAATAAAATAAATACTCATTTGAATAACAAATCCATTTCATTCATTTGATGATGGGGAAAAATGGGCGAGGCATACAACAGGAATATAGAAATGACAAATAATGTCCTAATTATTAAATGATTGTTCTTTTTCTGATTTGTGGATTGTTATTCCATGTTTGTTTTTGGTTCTAACTCTCATGTTGTTGTGTTACCACATTATTTTCCAAAAAAAGGCAACACAAATAAATCCAATATGAAGTGAACTCTGTGGTATCTGAGCAGACGGGGGACACTCACCCACTTTGGCACGGTGCTGTGAGGCAGCGTTTGGGAGCGGGCGTTGGGAACGGAGCTGCGAGGCGGAGGCTGGACCTCGGCGCTGAGAGAAGGCACGGAGCGGTCCGACACCGAAGGCACTAGTTTCCTCTCTGGTGAAAAAACACAGAGAAATCAAAGTCAATCTTTTAGTTTGTGTGTACAGACAGAGAGAGCGAAATACCGTTTCCCACAATCCAAAATACAAAAACATATAGAAATATGTATGCAAATATGTAGATAACTATACACAGAATAAAAAGACATGTTGGTACATATGCACACATTAAGACCTAAATAAAAGCACAACAATCAATATATGCAACAATAACAGTCACTTCAATATCTTTGGGAATGTACATCAGTGCAAGATTGTCCATAGCAGCGTAAAAAAGTGTCTGGTGCTGGATTTGAGTGTCTGTGTGTGTGTGGTGTTAAAGTCCAGTGGGGGCAGGGGGGAGAGGTGGGAGAGAAATCAAGGTTTTAACTTATAAATGTTAGCATATGTATGTATATGTGTATGTATGTGTATGTATATATATAATTTTGTTTATCTGTGTGCGTATTTAATTACGGAATTATCTTTTTTTTCTTTATCCTGCAACTGGATGGCTAACGGGAGAGCTACCTCTGTATGAGCTGTGCTTTCTGCCCTCCCGCTTCTACTCATTCAGTTTGTTTTTCGGATGTATAAACGGTCTGATTGTTGAAATAGTAGAATAATAATAATTAAATAAAAAGCAGTCCTGAAATGGAGTCACACTCAAAAAGGGGGGGGAAAGTCTGACCACATTTATATTTAAAAGAAGCAGAAACACAGACATGATGACACAGATTATTTATACTTTATTGATCCCCATTTTCAAAAAAGAAGCCACAGCAGCTGTTAATAACCGCGGGGTTGCTATGGTTACTCACCTGGGTTCTGGACAGAGTCGATGGTGATCTTGTAGTTGGCTTTGCTGGCACACAGCCCCCCCATCACGTCCTCGATCCTCCACAGCTCGCGCTTCATCTCTCCTTTCTCCTGCTGCGAGATGCAAACACACACATTTGATGTTTTTCTTATGTCGTTTGCAGCTTTCCCTTCAGGGTTTGGTTTCACTTTTAACATCAAATATTAGAAAAAATTCCCTATAAATGAACTTGTGATTCAGGAATTGTCAGACATTATTAGACCAAAAGGTAGTAGAAGACAAGAGGACAAATTCAATACAGATGGTTCAAACTCTACAAATAACCTTTAAGATACCCAGTTTATGAAAACAGATGCTGTAACTGAGCTGCAGTACCGGGTCTCACCTGAGGGGTGGCACTGTGGTTCATGTGAGCCTGCAGCGCTGTCCTCAGCTGCTCCATGGACCTCTCCAGCCGGTTGTACTCCTCCCAGGCCTGAGCCATCTCCTGCACACACACAGTCTTAGGTTACATAATATAAAATACACATATAATACATACATATACTGTCCAAAGTACTCAGTTTGCAAGAATCCTATATAGCAATGAGATCGAGTTTTTTTTAAATGTATTCACAAACTTAATTGCAGGCATCATTGCGGCTGGGTATCAGTTCTTAACACCAAAATAATAATAGGTATAAAATGAGGTACTCTATTGGTATCGGTTATCTATAAGGGACACACATTCTATTAAACATAGATGCAAACTTAATCTGCACCAGTAGCTGCATGCATTCAAACACACAGAGACACACACTTATTAAACACACTTTTAAATACTATTATGAGACTTTGCACACATGTGTCACTGTCTATACATTGGATACATATCTGTGGTGTTAGAATAGTATCCTTATTAATACTGTGATAGATTTAAACCTTATTCCTACCGACTACTACACATACAGTTTGTTGTGCAAAATTCAAATATTGGCTGGTAAAATATTCAAGAGGCTAGTAGAAACAGCCACAATAATACATTTGTGCACCCTGTGATGGCATACACACCGTGGAGAGGCGTGATATTTGGGCCCGGATGGACACCAGGTCTTCCTGCAGCAGCCTCTGCTGGTAGGAGATCTTCTGAGCGTGGGCCGGCTGGTCCTGGTACAGCTCCATCTGCTGGTGGGACACGTCCAGCACGCTCTCCAACTTATCCTGTTAGGGTGAGGAGTCGTACAACATGAGGCCAACCAAAGCAACTATACAGTAAGACCTACTAAATCCTGCTTGCTCTGACAATGCACTTTTATGATATTCGGAAGAGGCCACTTTTTCAACAATGCCTCCAGAGGGCAGCATGTTCGTACACTCAATCATAAACTTCCATAAGATCTAATTGTACTTCACTGGAAATAATTAGACTTTCATTCTTGTCTTTATAGTATATTTATTGTGTTTAATATACTTTAGTGGATTCAGCATCCCTCCAAGAACTGATGAGACTGTAGTGTCTTCAGTGTTGTGTTTTTGGAGAGGTCTGGTAATAGTGAATACAATAAATCTAAATATGGAGTCTGAAAAATCAATACCCAAATTGAAATTGGATGTGCACTGCTCTATACTATTTAATACCTGAATCTTCCTTCCTCCATTGTAGCTCAATTGACTAAATGTATCCAGCTCATTTAAAAACATTGCTACAAGATAGAGAGACAATATAGCAGGAATTCAAACAGTAAGGACAAACAAAAGCAAGATAAAAATAATAATAATAAAGGGATTCAAGATGATACAATGAATAAAAGACCACATCACAAGTCTGAAAATGTGTGTTATTAAGAAGACATTTAAACAAAATCACTGATTCTGCGAGCCTTATCTACTAACTGTTCATACCTTATCTTCCTTCAGAGAGCTGATCGTCGCCTCCAGGTCTTTGAGGATCTTATCCTGCTCACACAGCCGACTCAGCTTCACCTGCAGGGGGAGACACTGAGTGAGCACTGAGCGAGAGAGGGGAGTATTGTAGAGACTGTACACACATCAAAGGTGGGGTAGGTAAGTTTGAGAAACCGGCTCGAGATACACTTTTTGTTATATTCCATGGAATGCTCTTAACATCCCGATAGCAATGAATATTTAAAAAAAATTCATCTGTGGAAGCCGTGGTACTGTAAAAAGCACGACCAATCATCTGAGCCGGCCCGGCTAAAGTAAGGAAGGAGGAGGAGGGGCTCTGTAAGGAAGTGGCAGATTTTCTCCGGTTGTGTATTTTCAAATTCTAGCGCACTCGAGCTGGTTTCTCCGAAATTACCCACCTCACCTTTAAAGCACTTCTTTAGTAACTATATATCATTAGTGTTCGTCTGTCCGTTGACCTCTGTTAATTAAAAGGTAGGGTAGGTAAGAATGGAGAAACCAGCTCGAGTGCGCTAGAATTTGAAAGTACACAACCGGAAAAAATCTGCCCCTTCCTTCAGACTTCCTCACAGAGCCCCTCCTCCAACACACACGAACGCGCACATGATCAATGAGGGCACGAGATACATTTGTGCACAGATGGAAGGCTGACAGGCAGGTAGGCCATCCAGTTATTTTAGCCGGGCCGGCTCAGATGATTGGTCGTGCTTTTCACAGCGCCACGGCTTCCACAGATGACATTTTGTTATGTATTTATTGTCAAAGCATTTAATGTATTCATTGCTATCGGGATGTTAAGAGCATTCCATGGAATATAAGGCTTGCCCAGCTGGCAGGTTCACTTTCTGATCCTGTTCCTGGCCTGCTGCAGCAACCTCAGCCTTCCACCTGTGTTTGTATTTTCACAAATAGAATAAAGATTTTACAAATCTGAAACTGTGTTATAAAGAATCTTTAGACCCTCTGGAATAATCCAGTCCAGATTTGATGAGTCTAGGTATAGTGGTTTTAGATCAGGACCTGGCAAGTGTTTCTGAAGTGAATTACCAAACCCACTTGGCCCATTTACTTAATGACAACTTCACCTGCAGCTGTTGATCCATAAGTATTTGTACAAGAAAGTGCTTCTCCGTGTGTCTGTGAGTATGAAAGTGGAGCGTTTGTACATTTTTTACTGCATTAAGGTTTGTAAAATGTTAGAAATTAAAATCAATGTTTTGATGGCATAATGTACCTTAAATGTACCTTTAGTTTAAATGCTGTTTTATACTGAAAAAACAGAAGTTTTTGTGCACAACCAGTTAAGCTTTTATTCTGAAAATCCTTCATCTCCGGTTAGCATTTAGCATGAGGCTAATATACCATTTCCTATAGAGGTGAATTTAGCAGCGATATGATATGATGTTGCACACCGAAACCTACTGATTTCAACACTACAACTATAGACGTCGAGATATTATTATTGTTGGATATTAAATGAAGGTACAGTTTATTTGAGTACGTTATCGTTTACAGATGTGGGTAGCATGTCACAACATTCGGAACGACCGGAAATCAAATTGCTGTGAAGGATTTCCTGTATTTTTTGGAGTATTGATTACAGCGTTTAGAATGTGTTAAATGAAAAGTCATGAAAGAGTTAAGGAGGAGGAAAGGCGTGTTTAGATATATATTGAATGTACAATGTATGTATCCTGTGATATGCGTAACAACGGACATTAAATACGCGGAGAGCCGGCCCGCAGGGAGGAGCCAGGAGAGGCTATATAAACAACGAAACCTGAGGGGTTCGGCCTCTTTTCTCTGCTAGCGAGAGCCAGATGCACAGCTGTATTTCTGTTTGTGACTTCACCACGCTCTTTATTAATTAAAGTACCAATTTGAAAACATCTCAGAGACTCCATTTAGTCTCCTTTTTAAGCTTCTCTTTCCTGGACGCAAGAATAACCATCACAGTTAACAAAAACCTTAAAGAGGCCATATTATGCTCATTGTCAACTTCATATTTATATGTAGTGCCTCTACTCTGACATGTCTCCATGCTCTGATTGGTTAGCTGGCCGGCTCTGTTGTGATTGGTCAACCGCTTACAGATGTCCCGACCCTTAGCCTATCACGTAACTTCGGGATTTTAGCCTTTGCAGACCATTTACATGCACTAAAACCTTTCAGGAAGGGCGAACAAAGCATGATAGGGCCTCTTGAACATGCACGGTACCGTTGCTGCGCTGGTCACGTTCAGGTGTAATTACTGTGATTTAGCTTATTAGACAAAGTGTGTGCGACCCACCTGACTCTTTTAATTAAAGTGTCGAGTGGCTCTGAGCCCGTTAATTAATCCTCCGTTAAACAAGGCAAACGTCCAGGCGCAGGTTGGATCATTTCATCATCCTGCAGTAAAACACCCACGGTGTAATGTTGTAACTGAACAGCTTGATGTGGACAAAGTGCTTCTCCGTATACGCAGTTAGTTGTTGTATTGCATCATATAAATTATTAATCCTGTTGTTTTCTCCACGGTGACGTCGTGGTTGGATCCGATCAAATATTCATCTCAGACAACGCTCTCATAAATTGTTTAAACAGCAGAGTATGCAGGGAATGTATTGGATTATCAAACTGAAGTAGTTAGCGTTCACCTTTTAACACTCTCTGTCAGCTGATTGCCCCTTGAAGCCAGGAGTATTAGTTTATCACGTATTTCCATGCTTTTTCCATAACACCCCTATTTAGTTTAGCCTTAATTCCCCTCAAGTTTCTCCTGACTGAACCACGGCAGTCAGTACCTCCCCTCTAAACAAACAAAAATGGAATGTTACCGAAATATAGTTTGTTATTTTATTGATAGCTTATGCATGGACATGCTTAACACTCCTATTGTCTTCGTTTCCCCCCCCCTTACTTTGGAGTTCACGGTCAAATTTGACCGGTCCTGTTTTAACTGCTATTACATTAACACAAAAACCATTAATCATCACCACATTTCATTTAACACCCTTTCAACCTGTACATATTGTATCAGAATACTGGTATACATGAAAAACTGCAGTAAATATACAAAGAACAGACACTGAACATGTATTGCGTGTGCCAGGTGTGATCCATGTAGGGGGATGGGCACATAAGAGCGTGTGTGTGTGAGTGTGTGTGTGTGTGTTTTATCTGATCCGGATGGTTACTAATTCCTTTTCTTTCTGGGACCATGGGTGTTACAAAGTTGACTAAATCATCCAAAATTCAATGAAAGTGGTGATCAGCAATTGTATATGTTCAATTATATAACACATAGGTGTGAGCAAGCTCTCTGATTGGTCAATAGGCGTGTTTGATTCCACGATCAAAGAACGGTCAAATAGAACGTGCCTTTTCACAACAAGTCAGTATCCCTCCGCGTCTGAGAAAAACGGTATACCCTTGGCCTGAAAAGCAAACTGCTTGCTCCAGTACAGGCGTACGGACCTCGGCGCAAGCGCCTCGGTCCTGCCGCAGTACTGTCGTACCAATAATGACGTTAAAGAACGGCCTCTCGTGTATGATTGCTTAAATGTCTACTGTGAAGGATATCATAAAGCCTTAATGCAATCAAACGTAAAACTAAAAAGTTATGATTGATGAAAGTAGTAAATCGGTCAGATTTGACCCGAAGACAACAGGAGGGTTAAAACTGTGTGTGAATATTGCAGCAAAGTACAAACAGTAATTAAAATGCTTGATCAATTTGTTAGACATTTTCAGTTAAAGGTGGGGTAGGTAAGAATGGAGAAACCAGCTCGAGTGCACTAGAATTTGAAAATACACAGCCGTAAAAAATCTGCCACTTCCTTACAGAGCCCCTCCTCCAACACACACAAACGCACACATGACCAATGAGGGCACGAGATAAGTTTGTGCACAGATGGAAGGCTGACAGGCAGGTAGGCCATCCAGTTATTTTAGCCGGGCCGGCTCAGATGATTGGTCGTGCTTTTTACAGCGCCACGGCTTCCATGGATGACTTTTTTTAATGTATTTTTTGTCAAAGCACTTCAGATATTCATTGCTATCGGGATGTTAAGAGCATTCCATGGAATATAACAAAAAGTGTATCTCGAGCCGGTTTCTCAAACGTACCTACCCCACCTTTAAGTAAGACAAGCTTATATTGAAAACACATTAAAAAAAAAGTGTTCTTTTAAACTTCATGTGAATATTGCATCAAACTTAATCTGTTTGATATATCTGTAAGAGAGAGAAAAAATGGACAATGGCTTCACTTTCCACCACATTTCAATGTATTGAATATTCTTTAAATATCTAACAGAAAAACAACCAGCAACCAAATTAAAGAACATTTGAAAGCGTCAGAAATTAAAGACCCCTGTATTACTCACATCCACGTCACTTTCTGCAACCTTGACAGGTTTCCCTGCCTCCTTCTGACCTCCAGCTACCTAGAAATTGTAACAAAAAGCATTTCAAGATGTGAGTTGTACGGTCAAAGAAAGCGTCTGAACCGTGGAACAATGGCGCTGAAATAAAGGAGATACAGAACACAGAGACAGGCTACAAACTACAGTATCACGAAGCTGAGACACATTCTCTCTGCCTCGTGTGTGACAGTATGAGTGAGTTTTGGCACATCAAATCAGCTCTTGCCATGGAGAACACAATGGCTATGGTCACTTTGAAGCCCTGCACACATTGACGTATCCATAAAACCTCTATACAGTTTATTGTGGCCACTTCATACAAAAAAGTACAGGAAAGTAGTTGTTTAAGATAGTCTAAGGTCAGTTGCTCCCTTTAAGTTGTGGCTACTTAAAGTTCTAGAATAACCTCCTGAAAAACTACAAAACATTAATCTACAGCACATGTGAAAATCAACTGTTAAAAGCTTTTGTTAGTGCTTGTAAATGATTAGTTTAGGTCTACATGTACTTGTTTTTTGGAATAAAATAGAGCCGTAACACAGTGGCGCTCTGAGTTGGTGTCGTGCAGCGTTTCAGAGACGATGGTAGAAGCAGCTGGCTTTTCAACCACCGGGCCACAGCCACAACACATGCACTGCCGAGCCATCCCATGCCCACTTTTCAACAGCATCGTCAACATCACCACCACATGGGAAGGGGGGGAGGGACAGGTCAAAGGTCACGTGGATATAAGACGTTGGATGCCATTCAAGCCATGAATGCGGTGCTGAAAGCAATGGGATGGTCTTTCTAGGACAAAGACACTCTATACACCTGTACACTAAATACTGGAGGGACATGCACAAGCATAAATGCGAGCACACACACACACACACACACACACCCGATTCCAAACCATCTAACAACCAATTTCCACTCCGTTTGCGCGTTCGTTTGGAGGGTCGCCACATTTAGTGCCGTTTCAAACCAACTAGTGGGAAGGGGGAGTTATTAACAGGAAGTTATTATTCACCTGTCAATCAGGAAGTTATTAAACCATCCAACAGGAAGTGACTGACACTGTTGGTAGAGTTAGCCTGCTTCATAAGTGTAAGTGTTTTGTCACTATATTTGAAATGACTAGGTTAGCAAGGTTAGCTAGCTAGCTAACAGCAGATCTAAAATAATATCGGAAGAAATCAAGCGATCAAATTATTAAAATAAGTCAATAATACGTACATTTTAGGTAATTTCTAACTGCAGTGACAGTTGACCAATGTTATTGTCTGAGAGATGCAGATTTTAAACCATTGTTATGAAAAGTTATGATCTTTCCTGTTTCTGCCGGAGAGCGGGAGTTTGTTCTGAAGCTTCCCGCTGTATTTCCACCCTCCACCTTAAAGAAGGAGCCTCATTTAACTGAGAACGTGACTACAGACGGAGATCCTCCATCAAGGTGGGAGGGTGATGGGGTTTGTTTGGAACTGGGCCACACAGTCACAGCCACACATTCAGCATTGTTTCTGCTTGAACAGCACTGGATACAGACACTCACACACACGTACAGCTTACGTTCATTAGAGGCCTGAGAGGCCCAGCAGTGTAGTGCAGTAGTAAACTGTGAACTGCGAGGATCAGGGGCTCTAGAGCTCTGATCTGGGAGTCAAAATCACAAAGACACAGAGCCGCAGTCACAAAAGGGCGGCTGCTTTAGTGAGCAGTCAGAAGTCTACTGGGAATCTCTTTATTCGTGGCAAGAGTGTGGTCATCAGTAATAAGTAATAGGTCAGTAATAAGTGTGTTAGTTTGAGCTGAAGACATTTCAAATTAGAAAAGGCACAGAACAAATAGATAACCGGAACTAAAGCAGAAGATAAACTAGTTAAAAGGTTTAACAGCGGATATCCAATGTATTCATCTCCAAACCTCACCTTCAGGTCCAGATACTCCAAGTCCTTCTTGAGCTGCACGTAGGTGTCATCACTCTAAAAGGGACAAACATGAGGGAGGGAATTATTGATTTGTGTCAACAGGTCTTATGAATCTGCGGATGTCAAGTATGAGGTGTGGATTTCTGTCATGTGTCCGTGCCAACATGCATCACAACGTACAGTGAAAATGCATTCATATACATCCAGAGATGCTAATATTCTCCTACTACAGAAAACAAACACACCAGCACAGACCAGATCCATCAGAAGCAGCAGATATTAAAACAATTCAGATTCAATTCAGCTCACATCACAAAAACAAACACAAGATTCACGAATCAGAAGACCAAACGGAGCAACACATCCACAGCCAGAGCATGGGATGTCTTTGTGGACGTCAACAAGTTAGCAGCACAACATGCCTGTGGACATTTTTCACTAGAAGCACGACATGGAAACGGACCGGCCAAGAACAGCACATGGACAAAAAAAGAGGCGGATGACGGTAGAAACCAGATTAACCATGCCCGACGTCACCACACTAAAGAACTGGAGCTGTGGGGAGAGGTTGCCACTGAGACTTGGCTATTGATGCTGCAGCTTTTTTCACTTTTATGTCGGTTTGACAAGTTATATTTAAGGTTAATTTCACATTTAGACATACTTATAGTTGGGGACTGTGTTCTGGACAAACAGTGTCTATATGCAGATAGAGCAGATGTCAGTGGTTTCAGAATAAAAGGACCATTGTGTTAGGACACCTTTGATTGGTATGCTAAATATAAAATATTACATAGAATTTGTATACATGTCTTATACAGTATTATAAGAGCATTGTGTTTAAAGAAATAGTCTAGCTGTTGATTTCAGCTGGGTTAGATCCATAGGTGGTGGTGTAGTAGTATCCATAAATCTAGGAAATCATTTTTCTTTTTATCCTATAAAAATATGGTATTTTGGGGGGTAATGGGACATTTAATTTGTTAGGGAATCCTCAAAGGTATTAAAATCCCTCCATCTGATCAGATATTTTCATCCACTCAAGTGTTGGACGGACGGATTGACAAACAGACCACTTACCAACAAAGAGACACATGTTTACGTTTCTAGGAATATGTTTAAAATTCAAAGTAAAAATTATATGAGCTCTGGGCTCGCGTAAAACTCAGTGGTTAGAGCTGATGGCCCACGTAGTTTGAATACATTTTTACGTGTGTCATCCCCACTATCTCCGCCTTTCAACACTGTCACTTTCTAATAAAGGGATAAACCGGCCCAACATTTGAGTTTTACATGATATACGCTCTACGTATGAAATAAACATAGAAACCTCCTATAGTAGATCTGAATTAATGTGCGATAATATGTTTGGTGGCAACCTCTACCAGTAAAATGAAGGGCAGGCATGCCACATGGGGGGGGGGCGCACACCTGGGTGTTGAAAAGGCTCAGGGGACACAGGTCATGTCCGAGGTGGGACACAGGAGAGGGGCCGGAGCTGAGGAGGGGGCTGGTGCTAGTGGTGGAAGCAGTGAGAAAGTGGTTGTGGAGGAGGGGTTCTGAGGGGTCGTTGATCCGCTGCAGCTGGGAGACCGCGTGATGACGGGCGGCAGCCATCTTGGCCTGATGGCGGCGCAGCTGAATGAGGAGCAGCGTGAGCTCCTCTGGCTGCCAGGCAAAATCAATCACACAAAACCATGGTTACTTACTGTAACCCTAGTTCTAAAAAGTACAGATCGAGCCCTTTACTGAGTCTTTGGGTAATACACTTCGCCAGTCAAAAGGTACAGAATCACCCACTGAAACGTAGCCGGCCAATCAGGATGATTCTACGTAACTACTTATAGAACTAGGATTATAATATGTAACCATTGTATTAACTTACACAGGCTCTGCCATCTACTGGACAGTGGGTTGAACCAGACAACTAAAAAACGCATTAAGTCGGGTAGGTTCGTCCTGATTGGTCGGCTATGTTTGTGCAAATTCAGTGGACGAATACGTAATTGGTGAACACCCAAAGAGTCCAGTAGAGGGCGGAGCCTGTGTGAGTTAGAACTGACCATACCAAGCTACAGAGAAACATCTATTTTCCTAAGAAGTAGCCGAGCATTAACAGCACTACTCACTACTAAAGATGGATTAATGCAGTTGAAACAAAATGCCAAACTCACAAAAACAAACTGTAGATGTCAGGCAATGTCTTCCAAATGTTTAGCTACAGACAACTGGCCCATGCCGACAAAGGGCTAATCAATATTTGGTCAATATCTGTTAACATTTTGTTGTAGCGGAGAATAAATGCTCTTCTTGTGACTGATTTCTTGGAGGTAATCTTCCAGAAGGAATAACACATCACTTCCAAAACAGCCTCTTCTTTAGCTTTTAAGCATTAAGGTTTCTGCTCGAATTTTCAAATACTGAAATATTAATTACACACCTAATGTTTGTTTAAATATTAATAAGCATATTTTATGTTTCTAATGGTAAGACGTACCGTTTTGCCATGAAGGCTGGGAGCGCTGACGGTGTGTGTGATGTAGCCGGATGGAGGCATTGACCGTCTCTCAATAGTAGAAGCCTGACGACACACAGACAACACAGTTTGCACAATACACACATAGGAGAAAATTACATAACGGACAATGTGTGCTATAGAAATGACACTTTAAAGACATACAACAACATATAGAATCTGTTATCACACGATATTACAGTTCACATCGCCCAAGGCTGGAATGACTCTTTTAGAGGATGCAATATCTCACATGGCCTTGATAACAAAACACTGTTTTATCTCTGGGCAACATTGGGGTTGTGAGAGAGTGGGCGCACATTTGCATATTTGTGTGTTTTTTCACAAACGAGTTGCCAATTTTTTCAGTTTGCATAAATGAGACAAATGTGTTACACAGTATATATATATTCAATACAGTATGAAGTATATTACATTGTTTAAAAAGGCTAATTTTCAGGTGTATATCAGTATGTAGTGTCTCTACTTTAAAGAGTCCTCTCCTGCTGATGTTTAGGTGTATATCAGTATGTAGTGTCTCTACTTTAAAGAGTCCTCTCCTGCTGATGTTCAGGTGTATATCAGTATGTAGTGTCTCTACTTTAAAGAGTCCTCTCCTGCTGATGTTCAGGTGTATATCAGTATGTAGTGTCTCTACTTTAAAGAGTCCTCTCCTGCTGATGTTCAGGTGTATATCAGTATGTAGTGTCTCTACTTTAAAGAGTCCTCTCCTGCTGATGTTCAGGTGTATATCAGTATGTAGTGTCTCTACTTTAAAGAGTCCTCTCCTGCTAATGTTCAGGTGTATATCAGTACGTAGTGTCTCTACTTTAAAGAGTCCTCTCCTGCTGATGTTCAGGTGTATATCAGTATGTAGTGTCTCTACTTTAAAGAGTCCTCTCCTGCTGATGTTCAGGTGTATATCAGTATGTAGTGTCTCTACTTTAAAGAGTACTCTCCTGCTGATGTTCAGGTGTATATCAGTATGTAGTGTCTCTACTTTAAAGAGTCCTCTCCTGCTGATGTTCAGGTGTATATCAGTATGTAGTGTCTCTACTTTAAAGAGTCCTCTCCTGCTGATGTTCAGGTGTATATCAGTATGTAGTGTCTCTACTTTAAAGAGTCCTCTCCTGCTGATGTTCAGGTGTATATCAGTATGTAGTGTCTCTACTTTAAAGAGTCCTCTCCTGCTGATGTTCAGGTGTATATCAGTATGTAGTGTCTCTACTTTAAAGAGTCCTCTCCTGCTGATGTTCAGGTGTATATCAGTATGTAGTGTCTCTACTTTAAAGAGTCCTCTCCTGCTGATGTTCAGGTGTATATCAGTATGTAGTGTCTCTACTTTCAAGAGTACTCTCCTGCTGATGTTCAGGTGTATATCAGTATGTAGTGTCTCTACTTTAAAGAGTCCTCTCCTGCTGATGTTCAGGTGTATATCAGTATGTAGTGTCTCTACTTTAAAGAGTACTCTCCTGCTGATGTTCAGGTGTATATCAGTATGTAGTGTCTCTACTTTAAAGAGTACTCTCCTGCTGATGTTCAGGTGTATATCAGTATGTAGTGTCTCTACTTTAAAGAGTCCTCTCCTGCTGATGTTCAGGTGTATATCAGTATGTAGTGTCTCTACTTTAAAGAGTCCTCTCCTGCTGATGTTCAGGTGTATATCAGTATGTAGTGTCTCTACATGTCTCCATGCTCTAATGTTCAAAAAGCTCTTTATTGTTCTCATACTGCCTGTGCTACAGCACCTCTTTTCACCCTCTGTCTGAAACCAGAGCCCAGTCTGCTCTGATTGGTTAGCTAGCCGGCTCTGTTGTGATTGGTCAACCATTTACAGAAATCCTGCCCCTTAGCCTATCATGAGCACTGTGTTTGAGCGCTAGCCAATAGAAGCGCAAGTGTTACAAAGAGATGTCACAATGTTATGGAAGTAAACAAAAGAGTCCAATGGAGGCGTTTCAGGCACACTACAGATAATAGGGCCTCTTTAATATAGTTTACTGACTTTTTGACTGAGTGCTGATACAGTTGAGGTAGTTCAACAGACTGAAAGCCTTAAGGGCACGTCTGCCATTGTGCCCCGAGGCACTGAAACAATTATAATGTTCAGTGGAGCAAACTTCCAACATCCTCCCCACACTGTCACGATGACTGACACTGTTCTGGATGGGAAACTATTTCATTTGACATTGTGCTCTTGACAAGTGGGGGAATGAAATAAACATTAATGGTTCATTCTCTGGAGGAGAACAAACAGGCAGGATCGATTTCTTTCAATCCATGTCTGCTGCAATGCAGTGAAAATAAGCTGCTGTCACCCATACGCTATTATCTAATATGTCTAATCAACATTATCTACACATGCTGCAATTAAAGAACCAATCCTTTATTCAACACAGCCTGCCTTCTGTTTTCTTGTATCATTACTTGCTTAAATACAAAAAACAATTATCAGTTGATTGATCGCTGTGGAGAAAGACATTTGGGTTCATTGCATATTAAGTTGCCTTGAGTGTGACGCTAGCTTTTCTGCATGAACGTTGGTTATTCCCTTGAATTAGAACTGTCAAATTGTTCCTATCAAGTCTTAACTCTGTATTCCTACACTTCACTATGGACATTTAGTAAAACAAAAAATGAAATGTATTGCATTCAGAGAAAGCTTGCCTCTTTTGTTCATTTATTTGTTTGTTTTCCTTTCTTGTCCCTTTGGTATGAAGCATCAAACATCATGAGTGGAAAGTAAAACAAAAAAACTGAACCTCTGTGATGTTTACTGAGAGTTTTACAAGATATTGAAGTGACTGTTATTTTGTATATATTGATTGTTGTGCTTTTATTTATGTCTTAATGTGTACATATTTTAAATAAGACATATTTTTATATATATTTGTATTTTTTGTATTCGGGATTGTGGGAAACGGTATTTTGATCTCTGTCTGTACACACAAACTGAAAGATTGACAATAAAGTTGACTTTGATGTCGTTTGCTTCAACATTATTTGATATGTATGTGATGACTACTTCCGGATTAATGAATACATGTATCCTGATTATTGAAGCTCAAGCCGGTGACGAGTGATATTTTTCTCATAGTTATCTTCACATGTTGTTTGCTTCAACATTATTTTACCTTGAGCATCTGAGACTTGCTCCTGCGGGGGGACACAGCGAAGGGGCCGTCCAGCACCGACCGTTCCCCCGCCGGTCTGACCGTCACGCGCCCAGCCGGAGTGTGTGGTCTGCGTGTGGGCGACAGGGTTCTGCTGGAGCCAGGTGGAGGTCCGGGTGGAGGGATATCTGCAGCTGTGGGGGGTACCGAGACACAGCGGGGGGGCCCTTCAGACCTGGGTGCTTGAGGCACGGTGGATGGAGGTCGGGGGCCGAATGGGTAGTCGGGGGCCGGGGTGTAGAGCGGTGCCGTGGGGCTGCCGTGCCGGTACTGGTGCCGCTGCTGCCACTCGTACAGCTGCCACACGGTGCCGGGCCCCGGGTTGGACCCCATGTTGGGTCCCGGGTCGGGGGCCAGGCGGAAGTGGCTGAGGCGGTCCTGGGCGTACTTGTACTCTCCGAGCCGGGCGGGCGTGGGGCTCTGGCGGGGGGTCTTTGGCAGCGTCTGGTACGTGTCTGTGGGGGTGAACTTGTGCTGGGTCGGTGGTGTGCGACGAGGGAGGGTGTTCTCTCTGGAGGGGGGGCTGAGGAGAGGAGAAGCAAACACCAGAGGTTATTTTTATGTACCAAATTAACCATCCGGACTAAAACCACCAGACTCAGGGACAGTTTCATCCCACAGGCCATAAGACTGTTAAACACCTGAACTTCTTAAAGAACATCCATAACATTCATCTGTTTGCAACTTATATATATATAAATATTCCAATTACTTGTATATAGGCTATTCTGCACTATTTCTATTATATTCTATTTTATTTTATTTACTTGCACTATTATCTGTTTTATTGTGTTGCACAAACAATAAATGATAAGCTGAATTTTCAAGACATAAGGCGGTGCCCCACCCTTTGTGATCAGCCTTCTGCACTTTGACCCACTGCTCCACCTGCTCCAGAGTGCTCCTCCTGTGCAGTAGCCTGTGAGAGTCAGCCGGTGCCCGCTGGTACGTCCCAGCTGCGATCCCATTGGGCTCCAGGATGGGGCTGGGCGTGGACACCAGGCCGTTCCTGGTGCAAACGCTGGAGGGCAGGGTGGAGGCGGCTCGAGACGGGGCCCGGGATGGCACCCTGGAGACAGGAGCTGAGGCCGAGACGTGGTCCAGCTGTGGGAGGGCGGAGGGCGCGGGGTTGGAGGGGAGGGAGGTGTGCGTGTCCATCTCCAGGGCGGTGCTTCCTATGGGGTGCTCCAGCGTGGTGGAGGCAGGAGAGTACTTGTGGAGGCTGCAGCGCTCCTCTGAGGCCCGGTGGATGGGCTCCAGCAGAACCTCGTGGACCACGGGTCTGTCAGGGTCCTGATGGAGGGTCACGTGGTTCATCTGCTGGACGGCCTGCTGCTGCAACATGTCAAACGTCTCCAGCTTATCAGACGTTCTGTGGAGAGAAGTGGGGAGATAAAAGGCCTGGGTGAATGTTAGCCCATAACAGGACATTTGATACTTTGTTTGGTCTTTATAGGATATGTTGTAGATATATTATATGTTTCTGTCCCTTTAGTAGGTCTAAAGTACTCTACTTTATAATGTATATTTTATAACGCGTATTCTCAGATACTCTAAAACGTCATGTGATCGTTGTTTTGTCTTTGTAGGATATGTGATAGATATAGATATTGTATATGTTTCTGTCCCTTTAGTACAGTGTTTCTCAAACATTTTCATACCAAGGACCACTTAACCAGTAAAAAAACACTCGCGGACCACCTAACTCCACAGATATCCAAATTCACACCGTTTTTCTAGAACAGATTACAAATCGCCTGAAAATGGTACAAACAAGTGGCAAAATGAATGATGAAGGTGTTGCGCTGGGCTATATCATGCAATCGAAAGTGAAACTTAAGCTCGCTCCATTGCGGAGATATTCCCGTGAGAGTGTGGAAAACTTAAATGTATTTATTTATTTCAAATGTGAAGTTTTACCAATATACTCACGGACCACTAGGGGGTGCTCATGGACCACCAGTGGTCCGTGGACCACACTTTGAGAAGCACTGCTTTAGTAGATAGGTCATTTATTAAACATGTATTTGCACATTGTAAAAAGTAGCCAAATTCCAGTCAATAGTAATCATACTGTTATACTTTGTTCAATAGGAAAACATGGAGTGAACAAGTGGTTTAAAAACTCCCAAAGTGAAGCTGTCTCTAGAGAGAATTCTACTTTATTCTGTATATTTTAAAGTGCGTATTCTCAGATACTCTTCTGAATATATGTATTTTCTAATGGGAAAATACATATATTTGCTATATGTTTATTTTTATTCTATTTGTATTTGTATGTATGATGCTGCTGTGACAAAACAATTTCCCAACTTGGGATAAATAAAGTCTATCTATCATATCTATGTTTTTTTAAGACGTGCCGTTTCTGTAACACAATGTCTCAGAAATATGTTGTGAATTTTTCTTCACATTTGTTTGTTAATGGTGTTTTGTATTTGCACATTAACCAAACAGTGTTAGTGAGTCGTTGTGTTGTTTGTTACGTTTTGGCAGGTAATTTGCTCCATACATAACTAAGCCTCAAACCTCTCAAAGTGTTCTTTTACTGGATAAGAACCAATTCTGTTTTATTGGATCCCTTCCCTGATACTCTATGGACGTCTTGTTCCACCATTTCAGAGTTTGAGTCTTTTATCTCCTGTGCTGAACTCAATTTTAACTAAATGACTGTCACATAAAAGGGAAACTTTTAGGCTCATCCCAAACTTTAAGGATCGGGTTCAATTCACCAGACAGATCACTTTAAAGCAGGGCATTGGACAAGTGAAGCCTTGGAACCACAGCTAAAGTTTAAAATCAATAATTAAACCCCCTGTGATAGAAAGCTAGAGAAACAGCCAGGTCTCTGAAATTCAATGACCTACACAATATTTTAGAAAATTAATTCAACAGCGACTGGCTTGCTCCCTTGTCAGAAAAGTGAAGATATTTAGCATACAAGAGCCCTATAATGACTCATTCGATTGTGTTAAATGAGCCATCCTAGGCCCTGTCCTTCAGTTGAAAAATAGCGTGTTGCTTGCAGTGTATGAATCATTTATTAAAAATGTATTTGCACAATGTAAAAAGTAGCCAAACTCTTGAAAAACAAGTGCGAAATCCCAGTCAATAGTAATCATACTGTTGTACTTTGTTCAATAGGAAAGCATGGGGTGAAAAAGTGGTTTAAAAACTCCCAAAGTGAAGCGGTGGGTTTTCCTTTCTGTCATTCATTCACAACGACTGTAGTCTTGTGGGATTTCCCCTCCTAAAAAACTAAAAACTGAGCGGTACGAGACGAGGCTGTCAGAGAATGATGGGACGTATTTTAACTGAGCAGCCTGCCCCATAAACACATAAATAATACATAGAGAGAGCGGCTGCCTGCTCAAAGAAACAGCATTTCACAACATCAGAAGATAATCTTTGAAAGTGAGCAAACATGCTTGCTTACTTGCTACCCCTTTCCCTCAACCTATCCTAAGGGAGTCCATGTACGTTAGTTTAGCTGCTATAGGCTTAGACTGTCGGGGGACACCTTGCTTCTTCCTTCTGTCTGTCTGTACCTGTGTACCCATGTTCCCTTTAAACTGTGGGTTTTCTCCGGAAGTGTTTCCTTGTACGATGTGAGGGTCTAAGGACAGAGGGTCTAAGGACAGAGGGTGTCGTATTGTCATACTGATATTCTGAACAATCTGTGAAGTCCACTGAGACAAATGTATCATTTGTAATATTGGGCTATATAAATAAACATTGATTGATTGACATGTAAAAATAAATTTAAAAAAGTGCTCATGAGCTATCGCTTCAGGACTGATAAGAGATTTGGTTAACGGTAAACAACAGAGTGGCATGTTTTCCCAGATATCATTTATATAGGCAATAGAGATAAACAAATAGCAAGTCTCTCTTTGAAGTATGCATTTATAGGATATACTGTCGCTATATAAAGTATATTAAAGGGGACCTGTTATGCACATTTTCGGGTTCATATTGGTATGTTGTGCCTCTAGTCTACTGTGACATGTTTCCATGCTTTAATGTTCAAAATGGGAGACTCGCTCTGGGGGGAACATTCGGATTTTAGCCTTTGCAGACCATTTACATGCACACAAACTTATATAACACATTACAGGAAAGGGAACACCCCAAAAAACTAAGTAGGGCCCCTTTAAGATACAAAGTATGTGTGTGATTTGTAATTGTTTTTGTTATTTTGTGTATCCATTTGTTTCAGGTAGGCCTGTTGAGTAGTTATTTCAACTATTACCCCAATTAGGGATAGGGCATAAATACATTTTATATCTCAATAAACAATAATTTATATGTATATTTTAAGTAACCTACAGGAATACAAACACTGGCAACAAACACAAGGGGGAGCTCATGGTGCAAGGTGGAGGAACCCATGGTGCAAGGTGGAGGAACCCATGTTTGGAGAGGAGGAACACAAAAATATCTAGAGCTGGAAAACAGTAGTTATTATTGAAGAGTTAAGTGTCAAGTGGCTGAATGTACTCAGAGCCTGAATTTACCGAGGATGTGTGTGAGAGGTGCACAGTGTGTGTGTGTGTGTGTGTGTGTGTGTGTGTGTGTGTGTGTGTGTGTGTGTGTGTGTGTGTGTGTGTGTGTGTGTGTGTGTGTGTGTGTGTGTACCTGATGAGTGTGTTGCTGCTGTTCTGCATCAGCGTGGCCTGGTTCATGGCCCTCAGCCAGGTGTTCATGTCCTCCTGGGTGTCAGCGCTGAAGTAATACGTCCGCATCCCCGTGTGCTCCGCCTGCGAGCCAATCACAGAGCTCTGCATGTAAATGTACGAGCGCATACCAGTGTGGCTAGCCTATAGGGAGAGAGGAGAGGCAGGGTGAGTGTCAGGGTCACAGAAATCAGCTGTGGATAAAGAGACAGGTGAGATGTCATGCTGTCCAACCAGAGAAACAACATCAAGGGCCACATGAGCATCGACCGATACATAGAGGCAATGACGGAAACCACACGATAGAAATACAGAGACAAAAAATGCCAGCCATTTACGACCAACAAAGCCACGACGTTTGCTCAATGAGAGGAAAGATACTCTGGTACGATGGAGAATGTGAGGGTCAGAAAAAGTCAGGCTGTTCACAAACCTGTGTTTCCCGCTGCTATAATAGTTTAGACTCAACACATGTAAAAAAGGTAAAATAAAAGTAAACCTTGTCATGAATGATTGCTCTTTTTTTCAATGGTATGTCATAAAGAAAGATATACAGAAGCATGGTATGAAAAGTAGCTCTGAAGAGACGCAGTGTGAAATGTGACCAGACACCATGACAGGGTAATTGTACTGTGATTTAAGTGCTGAGCTCATGACAGGCATATTCATAAACGTAAGATTGATGTGTCTTGTATGCACATTAAAAAAGGGCTATTAGTGCTACATCTAATACACTGTTGTTGGTGTGGACGTAATGAAAGATTTGCAGAATAATTTAAAGCAGAGCAAACACTGGTGAGGCACACACTAAATAATAGTATAGGTTAAATAATATAGACTGTGAGCCTCTTGAGCAGTGATTCTCAAATGGGGGTACGCGGACCCCTGGGGGTACGTTGGGGTACTGCAGGGAGATTTACAAAATAAAAAAAAGGTTAATTAAAAAAATAATCTTAGTAAAATAAGTAAAATAGAAAACACAATTGTATATAAAACATTCCTAGAACCACCAAGGGGGTCCTCATATAAACATGTCAAATGTGTGTATTGTATTTTATAGTTTTTCACAACAACAACATATTACTTAAATTGAAAAACTCCTTGGAAAAATCTGTTTTATAAAAGTGTTATGTTATTTTTTTTCATGCATAAAGTGAAAATATCCTTAGTTTGTTGTAATGCATACCACGAAGGAGTTAATACATCACACACTGAGGGAACATCACTATATTGTAATTATTTATATAGGCTTTTTCGATCAAAAATGTTCGGGATCGGTCAGGGGGTACTTGGGCTGAGAAAATGTTTCAAAAGGGTACATTACTGAAAAAAGTTTGAGAAGCACTGCTCTAGAGTGTCAATTACACTTTATCTTACTGACTGATTTTAACTGTATACTATCCATTTTTTAAATAAAATGAATTCTATTCGAAACCTTCACTAAAGCCCAGTGTGATCTACTGTAGGTTGGCATCTGTGTTCACTGTATCCCAACATTCATTTAGTTTCTTTATTTGAGGTGGGGGTAGTGTGTGGGAGAGAAACGTTGGGATGTTAGCCTTTGCAGACCATTTACATGCACACAAACCAATATAACACACTACAGGAAAGACAAAGCCCCTAAAAGCACAATAGGGCCTCTCAAGCACACTTTCCTACATCTACAGGTGCATTAAAGCGATTATTCTGTGTGTGTAGGTGGAGAGCGCAGTAATACTAGTTTTACAGCTGGAGGGAAATGAGCGGTGCTTTCTTCTCGAAAATCAACATGCTTCTAGCTGCATTTTAATCTACTGAGCCTGCATCAGTAGGGCCGCCGGTATCTGAGCTTCTGCTACTATGGATTCCTGCCTTTAAGTTCCTGGAGTCCTTGAGAAGCTCACACAGACTCCTTCACTGTTTGATCATTCACACAGACAGAAAATCTTCTTGCGACTGAACTGGTTTTTTAGCTGTGTTAAGAATATCTGAAAATGATGTCACTGATATGATAATTGCCCCGCTATCCTGAGGGATAAGAAACCAACCATCAGACAACAGAAATGTCTTCAAGGAACATTACATCTCCAACAGCTGTGTAATTATTAGTGCCTAAGTGTTTTCTACCCTTGATGAAGATGTCCTTGCTGTGAAAGTGGGGTTATTAGAGACCCTTTTAAAGTGAGTTGCACTCCGCTGAGCACAGATCTTTAATGTCCTACTTTCCCCTTTCCTTCCTTCCTTTCTTTTGGATCTGACGACAAATTAGGGAACCCACTCAACAACAGATGCATGCAAATGAAAAGTAATTAAACGCCAAATCTTCCCTGCCCTAATTCATTCCCTGAATAATGAATGCAGCATGATAAGAGTGTAAGGATGCTGCAGTGGGATCTACATCACAGCAGTAACTCCACTGTGATTTCTCTATTTGGTTTACATTGTGATAAAAGGAGATGTAATTCAGCTTCATGTCTGCATCGCCATGACAACAAAACACTACAGTTCAATGTACACACTGAACAAGTTAATGAATTATGCAAACCAAGACTGTCATTCCCTGCTGTTCTATCTCTGTTTCTATACCCCAGCACACAAACGCTGACATGTACACAAACAAACATAACTTCGCCTCCAGCTCCTCTAGCAGCTTGATAAGTCGCCTGCCCTCTGATAGCCCACCGCCGTCTGGCTGCTGAAACAAGCTCATTTCAGTGGCTGTGCACTAATTAAATGACTTCAACTCTCATTTCCTTACTCACTATGTTTGAATATCTACTTGAGGCTAAACCTAGTGCATACTTAAAGATCTTAGATTTGATTGCAACGTCCTATAGTCCTATCAACTTGTGTACTTGCTCTTGTTGATACTTATGTGGATGAGCATGTATATACATGCACTTAATAACCTAAACTGACATTAGACATTTCCTAACAGAGGTCTTTATTGTTTAAGATTATGCTAATGAGTTGATTGATGTCAACATTTGACATTTAACACTAGAACCGCCAACGGGTCAATTTTACCCGCAGCTGTTTTGATTGTATGTAACTTTTTTTCAATAAAATATTCAAGTCTCCCAGTCTGTCACTTTTCCTGAAAGTGTGTTATGTAGCACCCTCTGTTGTTAAAAATTGTCAATATGAAGTCAGATTGAAAAAAATCGCCCAAAAAAATGCCATTTATACCCATTAGCGCCACCGGGTAATATTTACCTCATAGAAAATGCAGCGTAAACATGACGTGTTGCTATAGCAACACCTTTTGTCTACTGCGGTTCCTTATAGATTGAGAGATAGATAGATAGATAGAGAGATAGAGATAGTTAGTTATAGATAGAGAGAGAGATAGTTATAGATAGAGAGAGAGAGATAGATAGTTATAGATAGTTATAGATAGAGAGATAGTTAGTTATAGATAGAGAGATAGTTAGTTATAGATAGAGAGATAGATAGATAGATAGTTATAGATAGATAGAGAGATAGTTAGTTATAGATAGAGAGATAGATAGATAGATAGTTATAGATAGATAGAGAGATAGTTAGTTATAGATAGAGAGATAGATAGATAGTTATAGATAGATAGATAGATAGATAGATAGTTATAGATAGATAGATCGATCGATAGATAGATAGATAGATAGATAGATAGATAGATAGATAGATAGATAGATAGATAGATAGAGAGAGATAGATAGATAGATAGATAGATAGATAGATAGATAGATAGATAGATAGATAGATAGAGAGAGAGAGAGAGAGAGAGAGAGAGAGAGAGAGAGAGAGAGATAGATAGATAGATAGATAGATAGATAGATAGATAGATAGATAGATAGATAGATAGATAGATAGATAGATAGATAGATAGATAGATAGATAGATAGATAGATAGATAGATAGATAGATAGATAGATAGATAGATAGATAGATAGATAGATAGATAGATTTGTACTAAACAAAACACAAGTCTAACACCAAGCGTTTAAATCAGCACTGGTAGCGATATGTTATACTTCATGCTATCTGCATAAACTATATCCTATGAAAAGCTGAGAGTCCACAGATTCTATTGGTATAAGTTTCATCCCTGTGCGATCAAAACTCACTGTTCTGTATGATCAATAAAAGAACATTGTACCTTGAAAATCAATAGCGGGTCAATTTGACCCGTTGGTGGTTTTAGGTATACAGCGACCTCTGGCGGTTCTAGTGTTAATGCCATTAAAGAGGACACATTATGCTAATGTTGAGGTTCATATGTATGTAGTGTCTCTACTGTGACATGTTTCAATGCTTTAATGTTCAGAAAGCTCTTTAACTCGTCATACTTCCTGTGCTGCTGCACCTCTTTTCACCCTCTGTCTGAAACCAGAGCCCAGTCTGCTCTGATTGTTTCGCTGGTCACAGATTAGCCTATCACGTATAATGTGTTGGAGCACTAGCCAATAGAAGCTAGAGTGTAACATAGTGATGTCATTATGTTACTGAAGTAAGAAAGGAGTCAATTGGAAGCGTTAAAAACAGGAAAACCTATATAACACACTTCAGGAAAGGGACACCCCCAACAGCCTTATAGTTCCTCTTTAAATGACTGCAATTCCACAAAGATTGTTAACATTATTTTCCCTGACGAGCAAATTAATTGTACATGAAATGTACTGGCTGAGCAGAAACGTGGATCATGATGAACTTGCACTGTTGTTTTCAATCACAATCCAGGGCTATGCTCGTTTGCAGTCAACCAAACACTAGAGCAGCTGACCACACTGTCAGAACAAACAGTACATTGTGACTGCTGTGAAAGCAATACTCAAACAGTAAAATGTTATATAACTTAATTAAAGCTGGAATGTGGGACCTTCACATATGAATCAGTGCAAGCCCTTTCCAAATGAGTTCACACAATGCAGTGTTGTGGTATCGAGTGTCTGTGGTGACTTTCCCACGGTGTGGCACCAGAAGTGATGCGTTATTATGTCACTACACAAACATTAAGGTGGCAGGAAGGGGGAGGGGCTTTAAATCTTATGTACAAACAAAAATGCTGTTAAAACTACTGTAAGCTACTACTGTAAGCTTTACAAGTCATTTGTATAACTTTTAGTCCCCCTGGCATGTTGTTATTGTAGAGTCAAGTTGTTATATACACAAATAGTTGTAACCTT